CAAACTACGAAACCCGAAACCCGAAACCCGAAACCCGAAACCGACTCTGAAGACTTGCTCAGGATGGTCGAACCAGAAGACTTCTGGCGATGGCCGAGATGAAGACGCAACGCTCAGTGCAGGCTGGAAAATGTCGGACAGCTGCAAGCTACTCTTCGCGATATGCGGCGCTGTCTCTGGCCAATTTTCGTCTAGATTCTTAAGTCCTTTCTTCTTTTCTTTTTTAGTCCATGACAAATCCATATTCAATGGTGGGCATTCGTAAATGCTTCGAAACAAGGCCTCTTCGTTGAACTCACACTGCACTGTGCAGCTTGGTCACGTCCTTTGAGACGTGTCTTCCCCTAGTGACGCCAAGCTTGTTCTCAATCCAGTATGTAGAAAACTCATCTGAATATCGAAAACTTTGTCCGAATTCAGCGGCGGCAGCTTCTGTCAAGAAAGGCACACGCGGGTCCATGGTGATGCTAGCGACCGTCTGCACGGGCTCCGCCAAGGGCGGGCGCAGGCATCCAATCGAAGCAATATAGTGGACTGTGTCTAGCCTACCAACTTGATTATGGAAGTTTGATACTACGATCCTGGCGATATGACTGCGCGATCCTTTTTGATTCGTTCCGTTTGAATCTATGGATTATGATTTCTATGTCTTTTGTAAAGTGATAGCGACCTTCCGCACGGGCTCCGCCAAGGGCGGGCGCAGGCTTCTAGCCGAGCTAAAAGGTGGAGTACCATACCAACTGGGCTTAACATACTAGTGTTGCGTTGTTTTCACATTCCTGCATGGTCTTGAGTATAAGAATTCGATATCGTCTGCTTGGCGAAACGAATCACATCCACATAGCCGCAGGAGTTCGAAACCCCAAACGAGGCAAACGATTGTTAATGCGGCACCGACGCACCGCCTCCGAAAAGTAACCAATACAGTCGCTCTCAAGCTGTAAAGCTGTACATATATTATAGCTTCTCCGGAAAAGAGAATATATCCGAAACGTATTGCCAATGTGAATCCTTACTAACACCAAAAAAAAACTGAACATAGATTCAAACCCAAAACAGGAAGATACGGCTGTCTTGTCGACAACTGGCCTTAGATGGTCGCAGAAGCAAATCGGACAGACAACGCCCGCTCGCCTGCCAGCCACTCTATAAGACTCAAGAACAAAAGCAAGAGGATTCGAAAAGCTAGAGTTATCATGTGGGATACCACTGGGCTGGAAGAGGACTGTACTACAGAGCCGGAAGAGAAGGATGTTTGTGTATGCATAGAAGACCTCAATAGTTGCGTTAGCATGAGCCCTTCCGTCGCCTTGAGAGGGCCAAGATTCCACTTGCCGAAGCCACACGGCACTGCATCCGCCTCTGTTATTACAAACAACATAGTATGAAAGGATTGAAACAAGAAGCAACTATTGATGCGTTCCATCTCGAAAGGCTAGTAAGGTCTGTTCTTGCAAAGAAACAACAAAATCCTTACATGAAGCCACCATATCGGAAAAAAACAAATTTCGACGGAATTATTAATTTCCTAGAACTTGGACAAAAAGTTTTCCGGCAAAATCCCCACTCGATCCGATTTATAATGTATTGCGTCGAAGTGGCAGCGGCTAACTCGAGGAGCTTTGTACAGTAGCCTCAAGAAAGAGCTGAGCAGTGCTGAGTCGCGAGGCCCGCGCATCAGATCCCATATATCCCATATATATGGAAGTGTCTAGACGGATTAGTTACACGTCAGCATCCTAAACAGCTAATGCTTTTATTCATTGGTTGATAGTAATGATATCATTTACAAAGGATTCTGATTTAGCAGCCGAAAATAATAAGCTAGTACAAAATAAAAGCATCATGACCACCGAGTTGTAAGACACGAACCGTTTCATATTGCAAATGTTTATTGTTCCAGGCGTATGTCTCGTTGCCAAGGCGCAAGAATTGGAAACGTAACAGATCCCACGCAGGAAATTAGCACCATTGCATAGCTGTCACGAAGGCGTTGCCGAAAGGTTTTGTTTGCAAAACTTTTAGTCTGACTAATGAAGTGCTAAGATATCCGTTTACTTTAGATATGCGAGATATGCCCGTATGTGTTTCTTAACTCTGCACGCATCATATGCGCGAACGAAGATTCGATAGTTGGAAGTCTGCTGGAGTACCACATTGTTGTTGTTACAGCCTGCGCGACTCTGTTGTCACCTCTTCGGACTATGAACCTGATACGGTACGGACTCACCAAGAGGTCTCAGCTGAATAGCTAGACATCTGAATGCGTGACTCAGCCATCTGCACTTGCAAGTGTATACTGTATAAGTGTGACACAGCGCGTGCTTGCCAACGAAAAAACACTTCGAAATTTGTGAAACAGTGTGTACTCGCCAAAAAAAGGAAGTGATACTGGATATCTGAATACGTGACCCTCTTGTTGCCACTTCGAAGGACATGATTCTGAAAGAGGGCGTGCTCGTAAAGAAAATATACGAAAGATAACTCAACATCCTAAAAAAATCTTCACCCCAGACCCCAGGCGTAAATCTTGGAAAACCGAATGCGGTAAGCCGCAACCGCAATCGCGACATCTAAATGCGAAAGCTCGAATCCGGAAATCCGAAACTGGATACCTAAAACCGGAAATCCGCAACCAACATGTAAAGTTGGTTGCGGCTAGCGAAACCCGAAACCCGAAACCCAAAACCGACAGCTAGAGTTGGTGTCGATCTACGAAACCCGAAACCCGAAACCCGAAAACGATTTCACAAGCTGGTTTCAAGCGAAATCCGAAACCCGAAACCCGAAACCCGAAAACGACTCGAATCCGACTTTTGAGGTAGCTCTCCAGATCGGAACTCCCAGTTATTCAATAATTATTACCGGCTGTCGTGATCATTTCATTTCATCATCATTACATGGTGAATTCGTGTCGTGTTTCCTCGTGTTTCCCCTCTCTCAATTCCACTCCGATCTGCCCGAGACTCGAGACTCGCGAGATGTGCCTTTCAGAGGGCGCCGATGGATCCTGAACCTGAAGTTGATGTGAAGAAAGGGGGCTAAATCCACCTGGGCTTGTGAAAAAATCTTGGACAAACCTGGGAGCCCTCAAAATTCACTACTTAGAAAAGAAAAACTCAGCATTTTGCCGACTTCAAGTTGAAATCTCGGGTTATACCCGCATTTCAGAACAAACCCACTTGAGAAAACCACAGCAGAAATCGCTTCCAACTCAGATTGGGTTTGTCAAATTTTGTCAATAGGGTACACCAAAATCCACTGCGTCATAATGAGTTTCATCATTAAAAAATTTATTTGGAGCTCCACATCACCCCACCGACCCAAGTCTCCAGGACTGGTGAAAAAACACAGCCAAATCTCTCACTTGGTCAATATCCCCGACCAGAGTCTTTTTAGGAAATGTTTCTCAACCGTTGCACGAAACCGACTTCCGACAGGTACCCTAAACATCCCTAAACCCTCACTTCTTGCCTGACACCATGGGTTTCGACCATGAAACCCTGGCCGTTGCAGCCTGGCAGCCGTGGCAATCCGTGCCTCGGGCACGACCTGCAAAAGGCGGCTGTGAAACGGATGGGATCCTATGAAACCGACCGAAACCGTGCTGGTTCTCTCACTTTCCGAGCGACATTGTCACTGCTTTCACCAACTATCACTAATCATCACATTCTGGCTTTGTGAATTGATACCCCAATTCAGTGGCCCCTCCAATCTCAACATTTTTAAATAAATCATCTATAACTATTAACAATAGATCATTGTGATAAAAGCTATAAACCACTGGATCTTGGAGGCAAAAACCTCTTTTTTTTCCTCGAACATTCTGGCACCTCTGGGGATCATATGGTTGGAATTTTGTGATCACAATATAATACAATATATCACCATCTTTGTGGATATTGTGATAATATTGTGATATAGATCATGTGCGACTGGTACCAAGAGCTTCTTGACTGGAATGATGAATGATGTTTCAGATCAGCCAATGTGCTTTGGATTTTTCATGATTTTTCATCTAGCCTAACATAAACATCATAAATTCTGGACAAAACTTTCAACTCTGTGTTCTTCTGCGGTGCAACACGATGATCAGCTCAGAGTTTTTGACGCGTCAGCATGGTCCTACAACTCTGAGCGAATTCAGCGTTGCCCTTCGCATTGGCATCGAAGTTCTTCCCTCTCTTCCAGGTCCAGGTTTGTCTTGTTGGTGATTATTATTATTGATGATGTTGGTGATTATTATTATTACTATTAAATACTATTCATTATGGTGTTTCGCCGTGTCTCTGTTTCTTTCCTGGCGATTCAGCCAAGATTCTTTCAGAGCAGCAGGAAATCGGTCAGCGATTTCGGGCGAAATTTCGGCGGCTCCATCTTTTGAAAAAAAAGCGCGCTAGCGGTTGACGCAAATGTCAGGTAGAACAAAGGGATGAACATTGAATGAAGATCTGATAAAGATTGGATAACCCACAAATCTCGAGTGAAGATTGGAACGCTATTCGGATAATTGTCACAACGACCTTCAAGACCACCGAGGATCGCTTGCCAGTGTGCATCGCTGCACTTCAAAGTAATCAATGTCGAAGCAGAGACGATAGTTGAGAGTTTCTGAAGATCCTGGATTCATCTGGATGCAAAATGTCCCATATACTATTTATATATACATATATATATAATTTATATAATATATATATAATATATTTATTTATATATAATTTATATATATATATTATATATATAATTTATATATATATATGTTTACAAGAAATGTTAAAATCATCACCATGTTCTTAAGCCATTGATGTCGATTGATTTTCCACGCTGATCCGAGGCTTGAAATCTGACATATCTGGGGATGGGTCATGGCACCCTGGTACCGTGCCGTGAACCCCAAGTCATCTGGGTTAAAATGGATGTGAATAACCCACTATAGTCATGTATCTATAGGTATTGACCCATAGCCATCTCTTTTCAGATCTCTTTTCACATCTCAGCCTGCCGTTCGATCTCGTTTCATGTGCTCGTCTCTGCCCGAATTTTTTTTCGGTCGAACTTTCGCTCAGAGAAGATTGGCCCCCAACACGTAAAGGACCCAGGCGTAGGGGTGATATACCTCAGGTATCTGGAGATATCTAAGGGGACCCTTCAAATCCCTAAGATGTTGGGAGGTCAAGTTTTTGGGGTAACTAGTAATTACCATTACAAAACAGATAAAATGAGCAAACATGGATGATGAATGATTGAATATTGAAATATATTGAAATGATTTCTACTGATCAATGTGGTGTGATGTGAACTTTTGACCCTTCCGCAGTTGAATGGTGCAGGGAAACCCATGCCATAAAGCGCGGGTACGTAGGGTCAAGTGCGGACAAAGTGCTGAGTTCATCTCCGGGACCATATCCACTTTCTCCACAAGCGTCTGTTCATTGGATTTTTGCACACCTGCGCTACATTTCAGGAAAATGTCACGATTCGTCAACCTAAAACAGAATTCGCAATTCTGTAGCAAGCATTTTTTTTGTCGTGGGACGTCTGACGGTAATTCTTAGGTTGCAAACATTGTTATATACACAACATGAATATCCCATTATCCATTATCCACTTATAATCCCATTATCCCATTATTATGAATATCCATTATATAATGTTCAAATTCGCTTTAGATCCCTGCAGAATTTGCGTGTTTTCCCTGCAAAAATGGCCCCTACCTGGGGTAGTGCATGGTCCGGACTGGCGAGAAGCACAGCTGCGCCAAAGGGTGCAGGTTCCTTCAGTTTCTGCAGCCAGCAAAGACCCTGAATCATCCAGTCATAAGATGAGGTCTTTGATTATGAAAGATCCATACTATGAGAAAATGATGCAAACATTAAAATAATGTGGCAAACATCGTTTTATCATATTTTGATCATCCAGTCCGACATGATTCAAACATTAAAACATGAGAAAATCTCGCATACGACATGACGAGTGATGAAGATCCATACCCTCTGGTAAACGTATACAAAAAACGATGGAAAATCACCATGCTGTTCATGGGAAAATCCACTATTTCGACTGGGCCATGTTCAAGTTCGCAAACTGTGAATGTCATAACCAGAGGCTATTTCTCATATTAAATCCCATTAAACCACCATTTTAGACCCCATGAAATCACCATTTTTCATGGGAAAATCACCATGTTTACCGGGCAGCTCCCAGCTCTCCCAGGCTGATTTCACCCCAGAACCCGTGACGCCTCCAGCCAATCAGCTCCACCAGTCTTCGAAAACTCGAGGACTCCTGGGCTTTTCCGTTCCAAGGTTCCCAACTTTTGGTGGTTAAGACATGTTAGGACCTCAATTAACCTTCATGATGAATATTAGTCTTAACCACCAATGATTATTATATATACACACATATATAATCATGGTATATAATCATGGTGATTAATACCATGATTGTACCATGAGTATACCATGATTATATGTATATATATATGTGAACATACCCAACGAGGCGCCACTGATACCCCAATGACTTGGCCCAAAAAACCTGCCGAGCTTCGGCAATGGGTGTCGGTAATGCGTAGCAAGAGGCGGCAGTGCCATCCACCAGCAGAGTACCACACGCTAAGAGGGGTGCAAAGAGCCCTGGCTCCGAAATCGTTGGTTTATGATGGTTATGTGGAAAAAAATGAAATTCAACTAGCTTCACACCTCATATATCCTCATACTCTCTCTCTCTAGGAAGAGAATCGTGGTCCAAGTTTCTGAATTGCCAACATTGTTTGTATGTTGTTTGCTTCCTCAGTCCACTGAATCATGAAATACGTGGTTCTCTCTCTCTCTCTCTCTCTCGCTCGTGTTTTTCACGAAAGTCCCACGGAAGCAACAAGATGCATCCTGCCTTTTCTTCTAACTGCATCAATGCGCAGCACTTGAGGTGTAGCTACACTTCCATCTACCTTGGCTCTGGCTCGTGGAATGTTGTGTTCACGTGTGCATGTGACCTGTAGTAGCCCTGTTAAACTCCAGGAAGACATGATTCTAATCTACCGCGATCCGGCTGTCGTTCCGATTCATTGGCCCCAAATTCGTTCTGCATCAATCGCTGTCAGTCCTTCAACAGCACTTCAAGAACGTCATTCATTGCAAAATCAGCTCCAGCATTGCAAAATCAGCTCCAGAAACAAAATGGGTGGATGCAAACCTATTCTGATTGCTGGTTGCAGGTGGGCGCACCAGTCGCCTTGTAATTTCCTGTGTTTCTTCAACACGTTTGATGTTTTTCCTACATCTACGTTCCATTTTCTCTCCGACTTGCACAACAATGTTCATCTTACCGTGCACAGAATGTCATGTCACGCTTGGATGGGTAGGTGGAGGGGTGGCTGGCTGCTTTGCACTTACACTCTAAGTTTAGGTTATGTTGCGCAATGTTATATCGTGCTTACGCAATCTTCTCTCCCCACACCATGATTATGTTACCCTACGCCTGAGGTGTTGTGGCTGTGAAATGCTGCAAATAACATGGGAGGTCACGCAAATGCCGCAAAAAAGCGTGTAAACAAGGAGATTTCAGGGCAGAGGAGTGCGGACAATACGAAGCCAAGGACCAGGATCATTTAAAACCATGATTCAATTAATCAATAATTAATAATTGATAATTGATAATTTAATTAATACCGCCAGGTTTATTTTCATTCTAGTCTTATTCATTAAACATCAACTATTCAAGATTCATCATTCCCCGACACCCCACTCGATTCCATGTCACCCATGGTGCTGCCAAGCGATGCCCCGCGCGAATGCTGCGGGCTGGGACTGGCGCAAAGGCCTCGCCCTCCTCGAGGACCAGACGGTGGCGTTCACCCAATGGGATGATCGGTTGGTTTGGAAAGCCATGTTGGAACTGAGTTTTTTGTGCCAGTACAAGCAGTAAATGGCTTGGATTGGTACACAACCAATCTAAAGAGTTCATAAAAGAGTTCATAAAAGAGTTCATCCAAGAGTCGAGTGAGAAAAATAAAGGTCTATGGTCATGGTCTGCTCATGTTTTTTGAAGTCAAGACTGATTTTGTTTTTTCAATCCATCACTGGTGCATTTCTGGGCCCCATGGCTATCGGCACATCCCGCCTTTTGTGCGAAGACCAAATGGCCTGCAGTGAGTTCTAGCTTGCCTGCAGGGACAACATCAGGGATTCGTCAACTAATGGGTATATAATGGTATATAAATTCCCATGGAAATCTCCAAATCTGGATTTTAATCTAATCCAACTTTCGGCTAGCGGCTATGGCATAACTGCGGTGCAGAAATGTTTGTGCAGCATGAAGAAATCAGGAGAGAAATGTTCGAAATCAGCTCGACGTACGTCGAGCATGGTGTCTACTCCGGGGTGACGTAATCACAGGACCTTGGTGCTAACCCATAGGATCCATGTATGGTATATATGCTAACATTTGGGGTATATTGATGGTAAATGTTACCATATATAGCATACATGGATCCAATGGCTAAGGGAATTTCACTCAACAACGACCGTGTTGAAGTTAACTCCCCATTTTTGATGGTTAAATCCCCCTGTCACCTTTCGACACCCGACAATTTGGAGGCCAGTACCAGCATTTGGACGGGTACTATGTGTCACCAAGATGAACTTCTCAACTTCACAGAAATAGATAGAAATGGTAACAGTATCACCAACCTTAAGTCCGCACTAAGTTACTAAGTTTCGAATCCCTCCCGCTTCCAAAATTCACAGATTCCAAAAAAAAATCGCCATCACGTGGCAGCCATTGCGCCTTGTTCATGCGTAATCCGTAGGACTTCAGCTTCCAGCTCAGGCGCCTGGTGAAGAAATGCCACCACCGGGTCGAAGCGAAGCTCCCAGCCATCCTCATCCTGGGGTGCCGGTGCCAATTTTGGGTGGAAAATGGACGGGAAAATCATGGAAAATCCCCGAAAAATCCGACAGCATAATACAAAATACATAGGAAATGATGGAAATGGCTCCTAAAAATTGCAAGTTCGTGATTCCTCTCTCGCAGAACATCTGAAAATATCTTGTTCGCTCTTGATCATGTGACATTTGCAGACCTGACATGTGAGACAATCTCGGGCTTCGATCACCTGGACATGAGTCAGACGACGGTACCCTCTAGCGCATACAAATTTAAAACTAGCTGCGGTATACTTTGATGTTCATGCATAAACATGTGGTTGTATATGTCTATATATATATACATACGAGTACGCATCTGTATATAATATGCATTGTTTCATCAATATCTCAAATCGCGAGTTTGGTCCAATCCAATGGGTTTCATCGTCGACTCATCGCAAGCAGTATCATAATTTGGACCCATTTCATACTGCACTCATCAAATATGATGATCATGGATTACCAGTGTAGTGTACATCAACTCCCATGATATTCCATGATAATTATCTACAATAAACAATCCATTCCCTATGTGTATCTATATATATATAACATTATCAAAGTGTGTGTGTATATATATATATCTAAATAGCATTCTATGTGTAACATCATACATATATATATATATATTGATTTATTTATTTATACCTTATATATATCACTATTTATATATATATATATGGCAAATGCCTGGGCTTGGCCCGGACCCGCAATGACGACAGGCGACGCATCATCATCATCATCATCATCATCATCATCATTAGAATTAAACCCTCGTTGAAGATCTTCAATGAATGTAGAAGTTTAACGGGGGTGGGAGAATTAAACCCTTATTGAAGATCTTCAATGACTGTAGAACTTTAACGGGGGTGGGAGAATTAAACCCTTATTGAAGATCTTCAATGACTGTAGAACTTTAACGGGGGTTGGAGAATTAAACCCTTATTAAAGATCTTCAATGAATGTAGAAGTTTAACGGGGGTGGGAGAATTAAACCCTTATTGAAGATCTTCAATGACTGTAGAACTTTAACGGGGGTGGGAGAATTAAACCCTTATTGAAGATCTTCAATG